CTTTTGTTTCATTAATTTTTATAATTATTTTGTTATTACTCCGTAGTAATTAATCATATTCACTTTGTTTAATATTCCCCGTCTCTAAAGTTTTTCCCGTTAATTTATGCGATAGAAGTGATATAAATTTTGGTATTAGTTTATGCGTCCCTAAAAGTTGTTGAGAAGGTTAGAAGAGTAATTATCAATTGAGTTTATTTGGGGCTATTATTGTTTGCTGAATTTATTGTATTTTATAAATTATTAATCAACTTCGGTTTGTAAGAATTTTAATTTATGGGTAATGGAAGATGAGTGATTCATGGAAAATGGAAGTAATTTTTGTTATTCATTCATTTGATTGGTAAGTCAATTTCTATGGGTATGTCTGCAATAATATTAGCCTATGACTTATTTCAAACTAAGTGGCACAAATGATAGGCAAGTTGTATTTTGTGTGATAGATGAATAAGGGATGTATTAAGCATCAACTTCCTAGGCGTAGGCGCCTCGTAGGCAAGCAAGTTCTCATGTTTCATGAGATTGATGATGTGGGAATTGGAAATGAGACAATTAATCCTTCTTTTTTGGTATGCCATGGAGCTTGAAGTTCCCATTGACGCGTACATTTGAACAAGCTAGGGTGAATGGGTATATTGTTCGTGTAATACAGTGTATGTTATTTGTTAGAAGTTGTAATATCTTGTTCTTGGAATTCATGGAGTTGCTTCAACACTCGAGAGTGTGTGAGACAGTGAGAAGACTGTTTCTGTGCCAAGATTAAGATCATGAGCTACATATACTGTACAAAGATATTAGCAAGGATTGTGCATTTTGAGATGCTGGTTAAGTTCTTTTTAAAAGATATTTGAAGATTACCTATTTTCTGTATTCTATCTTTCTGTTTTAGTTCATTCAGCATCTAGGTAGAATTACTTATTGACACCTCAACTTGTTTTTCAGTGGATCCTTCAGAGAAATCTATTGAAGTAATGAGGAAATTCTCTGAGCAGTTCTGTCGTAAATCTGATACATACTTTTGTGTTGATAAAAGTGTCACTGCTGTTGTTATCAAGGTAAATGTTACCTTCTTATGTTTCATGTTTACTTTCTCTTGTTTATGTGGTGCTTCTTTCACAATTATATTTGTGTAGATGTTATATATTTAAGAAGATAGTTATTACCCTATGGAAACCACATAAGAATTGGGTGGTAAATTTAATACATAGTATGTTTGTTAAAGGTTTTATAATGTTAGGCAGAGCTTTGCTTCCTATATGAACGGATTGTCAATCAAAGATGCCATGCCATCTTTGCCACGTACTCATTTAGATCATAGATTATGAGCCACTTCCAATAGAGTCAACTTAGTGTGTGAAATATAATTGTATTTCTTGTCAAGAAATGTAACTAGGGATCTTGAACTATATTTGGTGTTTCAGTAAAGATCTGACAATTTTTTCGATGCTGCTTGTTGGTTGTACTTTAGATGAGCTACCTAAAGGATCATCATAGAAAAACGAGAATGTATGAAATTTTTTAGAAGTAATTCATACGAATTGGAGGAGTATATGTCAAAAGGTTTGTTTCATCTATCTGGTCAGATATCTGTTGGGAAAAAGAACAATTCCTGGTCTGATATGTAAAATTCTCCACAGGCGCACTGCTTCTTGTTCAGCATTTAAAACTTTTATGTAACTTTCCTGTTTGGATGTTTACAGGGATTAGCAGAACACAGGGAAACATTAGGTGCCCCCCTATGTCCATGTCGGTGAGTACTGTTACTTTTCACGTAGCTTTCCTACTTTTCACGTAGCTTTCCTACTTTCTTACAAGATTGTTTACATTTTGATGTTACAAGTAATTCTACTGTGGCTCAGGTATTATGAGGACAAAGAAGCTGAAGCCAAGCAAGGTTTTTGGAATTGCCCATGTGTGCCTATGAGGGAGAGGTATGATTCTCTTCCAAATCAACTTTTCTTGCAGATAATTCTGCATATAGTGATGCCTGCTTAACCTGTGGAGCATACATATGATTCTGTCATCTCTATTAAGAGCATGTTTGGTAAGAGTATTTTTAGGGTTGGAAACGGATTCAATTAAATCATTACCGTTACCAAGTGTTTGGTTAGATCCGTTAGAATGCTTGGGTTACCAATTACCATTACCTAAGGGTAATGATTTCCACCAATTGTTACCTCTCTAAAAGCTAAAGTAACAATTACCCTAAACCTCCTCAAACAAAAATAAAGAGAGTTAGGTTAAGTGATTTCTTTTCATGTTTAAACCAAACAAATGAAAAGGTAACGGTTAAATGATTCCTTTTCTTCTCCTTATTTATTTCCTTTCCACTCCATTTTCAATATCATACCAAACACCCCCTAAGAGTTAATAATGCAGTAACTCAAGATGCTTCAATTCTCATATTTTCGAGATACTGAGGTTGATAGTGGAGGGGTCAGAGGGAGATTGTACTTCATTAGTACCAAAATACCAATTTGCATCTGTGCAATGCAGATGAAGGGATTTAATGGAATTTAACTGTCAAGTTTGTAGCTTAAGGACTTTAGGAGAGACTAGCTTATAAACTGTTCAAGAGTTTGTAAGGATGTGATGGATTCAGTTATATGCATGTGTATGGTGGTGACTCTGGTGGGTATTGTCAGTCTCTCTGCTTTATAACTTTTGAGACTGTTGGAAGCAAGTTATTTAGTGTTGCGTTCTGATACCTCTATGGCTCCAGCTCCACCCTCCATTGAATGTTCAGATGTTCTGCATACCTCCAATCAGTGGTTATTGTGTATTCATTTTGAGCTAAGAGTGTCACAAATTGTATTGCTTTAAATAGGCAATGTCTGTATGCTCTGATTATGATTCTTAATTTTTTGGTGAGTATTGTTAGTCAGTCTGTCTCTACTCTTAAGTGTGGTCATGGGAATTTGGGGACTGAAGGCGATTAATTAAGTCTACGACTACCAAAGAGGTTTAAGTGAATTTTGCAGCATTCATTTTTGAAATAGAATGCTGTAAGATGTCTACAGGGACCAACTTCACAATGACAGGACAATACCCTAAATTGATAACCTTGATACCTCCAATTGATTTTAATTAGCAGTAAAGTAGAAAGGAGAGATAATTATAGCTGTGTTGATTCATCATAGCCTGTTTTGTGAGAGAATCTACTACAACCAATTCTCTTCCTACCGCCTTCTAATCTCCTTGGAAAAAATTATGATGATGAACTTCACTATTCCTAGTTTCCTAATTAAAAAAATTGACCTTCAGGGACCGGCTTCCACATATTTATGCCTGCTAAACACTCGTGGCTTTATTTAATATGCTGCTGCTGTGTTTAAGAGGATAATGTCTCATACAGTCAAACCAATTGTATCCCAAAGTGTGCTATGGACTGCTTATGGATTTGATTTGATGCTATGCTGATGTACTGAAGGTGTGCATATACTGTTCTGAGACTGAGAAAGATAATCTGAGTGGTAGAAATTAAGAAGTTGCTTCGAAATATGTGGCAACTGAAAGATATAATGCAAATGTAGAAATGTCTGATCATGGGTCTTCTTTACGTGTCCTATTATTGAAGGGAATGGGGGCTGGGAAGTGGTGATTTATGCCTTTATGGTATTAGTTGCTTGCAATTTACGTTCTCATGTTCACGTCTCTAACTTAGGGTACTATAAGGAAAGTCTACCTTATTGGCTAATTGCTGCTCAATTGGCCATTATGCTACTCTAGGTGGTGCTTTTTATGTTTATGGCTTCTCTATGTTTAGTCTTGTCATTCGATCATGATAATTTCTCGGATTTTTTTATTTCTGTTTCATCTAACAAAAGGAGCTCATGGCTTATAAGTAACTGAATTGGACAATTTAACAGGAAAGAGTGCCACTGCATGCTATTCCTGACCCCTGACAATGATTTTGCTGGAAAGGATCAGGTTAGCCTAACATCCTAAATGACGTTCTTCCAAGAAGGCTTATATTTTCTGAATATGCTGGTCTCATTAAGTTTTCTTATAATTTTGCTATGTTGTTTCTAGACTATCACCTTGGATGAAATTCGGGAAGTGACTGCGAATGTGTGATTTCATATGAGCTGAAGCCGTATGCGTAGCCTCAGTAGGCCTGTACATTACGTATTATCACGAGGATGCCAATAACTGTTGTTCTGTTATGCTGTAATGCCTGTATATACTCTTATTTTGGAGAGCCTTGTCATCTCTAACTCTAAGCCTTATCAAGGTATATAGCCATACTCATGTATCTGAGTTTGTATTTGATTTAATAATATGACATCATATATTGATAGAAAAAGGCATACATCAATTATTCCAAAGTATATTTCTAAAGGGGTTTTTTCATTTGATAAAAATGTAGAAGTATTTCTATAGACTATGATCAAGTCAACAACAATATTATTGCCACTATTATGGAGTATTATAACCTTAAAAATGCATATTATTGAATATTGATTTATTTGCATACAGCCAAAAATAATTTTGATGCAAGAGTTAGGAAAGAAATCAAAGTTCTCTATTTCACTAATGTTTGTGTATTCTGAATAAGGAGTATTGTATAGCTAGAGTGAATCTTAATATCTAATTCATCAGTTGTTTTAATAATAATATACTATGTATTTTTTTGGCTTGGGATGTACATTGACATTCAGATGTACCAGTCACACAATATATCTATGATCATTCTTTGCTTAATGTTTTAAACTCGAGAGTATCTTCTTTAGGAGAGACAACAACAATATGAAAACCTAATTTCAATAACAAGTTGGTAATGTAAACCAAGATCCTTTCTTTCTATGCCCTTTTATCAAATGTGAGTATGTGACATGTTCATGTAAGCCCGATAATAGTTTCTATTTAATTTCGTAGTTCGTACATATTTTACGTGGAGTAAAAAATACTTTGTAATATCCTAATATCTTGTCACATCTATTTTTTTAATAAAATAACAATTGATAACCAAACAACACCATTTAACAAATATTTAGAAGGGAGGGAATAATATATGTCCGAGTATTAATGATCAAAATTATATCGAATATCTCGATCCAATAATATATAAAAACACCATAGAAAGAGACCTTGCCAAAAACGGTCCAAATGCCACCAAACTCCAAAAGTAGTGAAGAGTCTGAAGGCTAGTTTAGACTTGTATAGAGTACATAAATAAATGGAAATATTTCCATTTAATTTTTTTTTTCCTGTCAAAAAATAAATAAATAAATGGAAATATTGCAGAACTTCTGATGTCAGCGTCATCCGTCAACTGAATACTACGGAGTATACTCTAATTTTGACGCTTTGTCTTTCTCTCCACCTTCACAACTATGTCAACGACCGAAGTCACCATCACCCTTGGCCGCTCTCGTAAGGTACTCTCTCTAATTTCACCATAATTGCATTCTTATTACTGATTTATTGTGCTTTTATTTTGTCCTAATTTCGCCTGAATTCGATAATTCTGTAACTTTTAATTGTGATTAGGTTGTAAAGAGGAAAAGGTCGGATTTTACTCAATCTCTTCCTTGCCATTCCAAAAGGTTTACTTCTTTTACTTGTACTTATCATTCTTTTATTTTGTTGTTACGTGCCTTACGTGTTCCTCCGTTTCACGTTAATAGGTCACATTTTGTTATACTTAGTATATCATTTGGAAGAAATTTGCCCGAAAAACCATGATTGTAAATTTGTATTTGATAAGTACCATTATTGTTCGTTTTATTATCGTGATACGAGTACTACACATCAATATTGAGTGCACTATTATTTTATTTGGTTCTGCTAGTGCTATTATTTTTTGCAAATAATAACCACATGTTTAAATCTCACTCTATAATGAAGGATACTAGGTGAATTTGTTCATATTCTTTCCAATAGTTGGATCATTACAATTCTAATATACAAGAGATGTTCTAGTAGTTAGGGGCATTATTCCATAATTAATAGGTTGAAGGTTCAAATAATTTCTCGTCTCTGTCTCAAGCTAATTTCATATTTTAGCTCCAATGGTCAAGCTATTAGCTAAGGACTCTTGATTATCGCAAGCAAGTCCCTACTACAACCATAAGGGTTGCTCTTATGGTGTGGGATGATTTTGATTTTTCGCCTTTGTGTTTGGAAGCTTTGGGCCTGATGTATAATAATTTGTTCTCTTTGCATTTATAAACATTGCTTACACTGTGGAAGTCCGATAGTTCTTTTTTGGTTTGGCTGGATCACATACATTCATATGGGGTTTAAGTAAAAAGTTGTTACCTGATTCTATCCCTTTTATGCTAATTGAAGGGGTATATAGCTGAATCATGTTATTTGCAGTTCAGTGATGGTTTATGAGAGGTGTTCTCTTATGAAAGGTGAAATTTTTTAATACTATGTGATTCTTTTTAGTGTTTAAATTTGTAGAAAATATAACATGACTTTACTTTCATGCTTTCATTAAAAAGCGGTGGTAATCGAGGCCAGTGAATGAATGTGTTTCCATTTGTTGTGTGTGTTGTCTGTTAATTTCTGTTTGTTTATTGATACAGTTACTATTTTGTTAATTGCAGACTTCGAATTATTGTTAAAGAGAATGTGGATTATGATGGTAAAATTGGTAACAATTACACTAATATATGACGGCTTAGAACATCCTATATCCAATAATGATTTTATTATCTTAACTGTCTTGAAGGTTTTCACCTCGAAAGAAATGATCTCCATCACAAATTGATTCGGAGGAGGCTATCCAGTAGAAATCATACCACAGCTCGTGGTAATAAGCAGAGGAGAAAATTAACAGGAAAATTATCTGGTGCATCTGCAAGGTCAGCCATAAGCTATAATGAGCTGCTGCGTGGCCTTCATCAATCTCAAAGAGATGGGCATATACAGAGAGATCCTTATAGAGAAGCTACTAGAGCCTTAGCTTACATGGGCTCATTGGAACATCCTTCAACTGTGACTAGAGATGATTTAAGACGAAGATCCCCTACAAGACCTGCGTATAATTCTGGCTGTTTGTTGCCACCAACTCATACAACAGAATTACAAAAAGTAACATCTATAAGATCAAGTCAACATGCTTATAGCCATATGTTTCCTGGACCACCTAGATCAACTGTACCAGTGCAGACGGGGGCATTATTGGATCTGGAAAGGGCAAGACCTATGGCTCTAATTCCTTCACCAAGTGGGTTCCTGCCTAGAAGTATGTCCATGGTAATACTAGTCTCTTTTCTGCTGTTTTCAATTCTATCTAAAATTTGAGGAAATCACTGAATGATAGGATCAACTCCTTTTGTGTTTCACACCTCTTCTATGTTTTAAAGTTTGGGTTTCTGAAGCTGTTGGGATAAGATTAATCAAACAATATGTGAATATTTATTTATTTATTCTTAATTATATGGGGGTGTGGCGAGCTTTGTTTGCTTTTGATCAGGTCGGTGCTTAGGTTTGTGACTTTATGTTAATGCTCAAACTATTTTCGATCTTCTGTGCAGGTTGAGGCACCTGTTACTGTTGCAGGGTTGTTGAATTCCCTTGGTTTGGGGAAATATGCTATCCATTTTCGGGCTGAGGAGGTATTGCCAATATATCTGATCTTCCTTCTCATATGGTTGATGTACCTGGCTTAGTGTATTTGTTGTTGGATTATGAGTAATTGAAGTAGTCAATAGTTTGACGTAGAAAGATTTTTTTTATTTTTATTTTATTTTATTTTATTTTATTTTTTTATTATTTTTTTTTATGTATGTATATATATTATACATCACGAGTCCAAAATCCCTCTATTGGGCTAAATTCCTAATCCTCGTTCTGGAAAATTCAATTGTTGTATCTAGATGCAAGATCTTCATAATAGCCAACAAACCAAATAGCCTTCCTTCCTTTATGCCTGTTATACATCGAAATGAACGATGGAAACAAACATGCCTACAATGGGTAGATAGATAACTCAATGCAATGACAGTAGCTTCTATGTTTCTTGCTACGTAATCATAACTTGAAAGGATAGCCTTTTACTTCAGTTTAATTACTCGAGAGAAATGGCTTTTATACTGTTTTTTCAGCAGTTATTATCTGAACTGTACATACTGATGACTGATGAGGATTGCATCCCACCTTATGTCCAGGTAGATATGTCAGCGTTGAAGCTGATGAATGAAAAAGACCTGAAAGATCTGGGAATTCTGATGGTATTGTGCTCAACTATCTTTTTAGCAAAATATGTACATGCAGTCACATGGAATGATATTTTCTGCCAAGCTATTTCCTGCTTTCCCTTTTTCTTATTTATTTATTTATTATTTTCTTGAGTTTGTTGCTTCTCCATCTCTACTACCTCAGCTTTACTCGCCGTCTTCTTATCTTGCTTCAATTGGCCCAATAAATGATAATATACTTATCAGATTCTTTGCAAAGCCTAAAGAACTAGTCCTAATTAGTAAGATGATTGCATTAGCCAATGTCCAATATGAAAACTCTGTTAAATTACAAAATAAACAACATAGTTGTGAAACCCTTGTGACATCCTAGGCTTGTCCCTTCCCAGGACCAACCAGGAAATTTTTCCTTACTTCCATGTGAAATGCACCATGTTCTGTTTTGATTTTCATTTTCTCTGCAAATGTCAGATTTTGTTAAACCTGAAATCCTGAGTGCGTGAGATAAAATTCAGTATAAAATCAACAGAAGCCATAAAATGTTAAAAAGATTATAACTTAACTGAGAGAAAACCTCAGCTAATATTATTGTCTTGTTTCTTTGATCCATCTCGTCTACAAGATCTTCATTATTGATAAAAAACTTCGTATGTACTACCGACATATAGATCTAGACAAAGTATCTTCAAGCAACTATCTTAAATGAACTGCCATGTGGTGCTCAAATTTACCTTGGTGATAAACTGATAATTAGATGATTATCACTTATCATCACTCAACAGTCCTTGCTGTTAAAGTGTATCTCAGGCTAATATTCTTTGTTTCCTGGGTAAGTTTTTTGAGACTCTCTGATGCCGAAATCTTTTTCCCTTCCAACTTAAACCCTTGTGAATATTTGGATTTGACAGTTACAACCTTTCTTCTTCAAATACTCCTGCCTAACTGTTTGCTACATATTAAAGTTTAGTATTTATCATATGACATATGCAAAAACTTAGTTGCAAAAGATTGTTATCACTTCCCTATTTCGTTTCTCTGAGTGTATTGAAATTTGTGATTATGGTGAATGGAATGTTGTGCTCTTACATGTCCTGTTCTGTCAACAAGGACCAAGGAAGAAAATCCTACAGGCTCTCTCAGCTTAACTTAGGAGGCAACTGCCCAGGCAACTTTAGTCGGCTGAATTTGTATGTACCTTTTGTGTTCAGCAACTACAATTCATAGTCTTTGTGATGTTGCCACATGTTTTGACTTTGAAGTAGAAAAGTTGGCGCTTATCATTCTAATTTGTTATTCCAAAATAAAACTCTTTAGGAAGTGGTGATTAATGAATGAAAATCAAAGTTTCCTTCCCATTGTTGCCTCTTTTTTAATATTCATGTTATGTTGTTAGGCCTATACATAGATGTTATGCCATCACTTGTCTTTCAAGCATCCCAATATTTTTTGAGACTCGCAACCTTGAATTCATCAGCCCCGCTTGTGTTGTGTCTTTTGTTACTTGACATCAGTGGCGGACCTGGGCTTGTGCCTGGTGGGTCAAGTGACTCACCAGGGCCCAAAAAATATTTTAAGTTCTGAGTTAGCCCTAGCCCACTTCGCCAGACGCCAGTTCGCCTCTTCCTCTTCGCAAGTTCGCATCTTCCATTCTTCCTCTTCGCCTGAATCGCCTCTTCCTCAGTTCCTCTTCGCTAGTTCGCTTCGTCTTCCTCTTCGCATAATTTCAGGTTAGTCATCTTCATCTACTCATCTTTCGGCTTTTTTATTTATTTATTTATTTATTTAATTGTTGATTTTACTTGTTAGTTATGAATTAGTAATACTAAATTTGAACCCTAAATCTCTAATTGTTCAATAATCAACTCAATTTCAGAGAATTTTGCATTATCTGAAATTCTGAATTGTGAATTTGTGAAATGTTTGACACTTTGACAGTGCTCTTCGGTAGCTTGCTCACGCCTCCAGTGCTGGCTGTGCTGCTGGCCTGCTGGCTGCTGCTCGCCTGCTACCTAGCTCCACTGCTCCAGTCCTCTGTGCTCACCGCTCTTCGCTTCGTCGCTTCTTCTAAAGTCTAATCTCCTATTCTCATTTTGCTAGTAAGTTGATTTCTAATTTTTAGTTTAAAATTCTAATCTTCAATTTAATTCAGTCTTATTAGTTAATTCTATTAAACTTTGGTTGATTTTGTTGTTGTTTGTTTGGTAAACTTTGAACCTTTTGTTAATGTTGTTGGGTTTTTGTCATTTTGATGAAATTTGAACCTTTTTGACCATGTGATTATGTGAATTGTGGTTTGTTTGGTAAAATGATCTTTGTAAATAATTTTTCTGGGGAATTTTGCTTGATTTAGTTGATTATTTATTCAAATTTCAGAATGAAGAGAAAACGCACTCCAAATGAAATGCAAAACATTACTAGCTTCTTTGCTAAATATTACTATTATTTGGTTGTTTGGTAAAAAATTTTTTTTACATATTTGATTATCGATTGTGACTCACCAGTCGGAAATTCCTGGCTCCGCCACTGCTTGTCACTCAAGTGCTTGCTAATTTGCTGTTGCTCCAACAACCAAGAGACCTTTTCTGCACAAGTCTTGTGACCTTGCTGGCAAGACTGTACCGTACAATCCAGTTCTAGAAAACTTAACACTATGACACATGTATTGGTCTAATAGGGCATGTGAGGATGATTGGAGAAACAGACGTTCTGTAATTGAGGATGAACTTAGGCTGCACCCTCTAGGACTGTGTTGGTTTTTCGATAGTCATTGGAGGACATCAAAATAATTTGGTTTGACAGTACTGTGGGAGCTTAAGTGATAATCAATGCTCGGGCAATCAATACAAATCCAATTATTTTGGGAAGAACCCCAGTTATTTTACCCTGATAGATTGTCAATATACTTCTGTTGGAGCAGGCAGAGCCACAGAAAAGATATTTAGGAATAGCATATACAATAATTGATGGTGAGGTTTTGATTACAATAATGCTATGTATGATTATGACTGGAGATTTCTAGATGGAATAGAACCCAAAAGTTAGGCATGACTGATATCTACTTACTCTTATATGGCAATAATTTGCAATCATTTATCTTCGTGTTTTGTGCCCGTATTCAGCTTTGGTAATTATGAAAGCATAGCCAAGTTATGCTCTAACAATAATGCTGCTCTGAGTATCTAATTAGGATTTGCGAGTTTAGTGATTAAATTGTGTTATTATCTGTTCTGTTCTGTCAACACAGACCAAGGAAGAAAAGCCGTCCTACAGGCTCTCTCAGCTCAATCTAGTTGACATTGCTCAAATACTAGGATAGTAGGACCATTTTATGGGTTATGTGAACATATGTACAATTTGGAAACATTGGATGTTTTCTTGCATTCCTTAGCAACCCTCCAGCCTTTAGTTTTTGTGGCATTGCCCCTAAGTTCAATTCTCTGTTATAGGCACAATCACAGTAGTAGTCGCGGAACCACTCTCACAGATATGCATGTTCCATAATCCTGATTATGCTTATTATCACGGATTTGTGGTCATTTGTTCACGTTATTATGACATGAATGATTTTCCAAGCCAAGCAAACCCATACCCGACCAGACCAACCTCAATTGACAGATTTCCAATTTTTTTGTTTAATCTGTTACTTCCATTAAGTTTTGGTCCCAGCTTTGTTTATTGTTTGGACCTCCTTCTTCTGCGAATTGATTATTTAGTGATGCTGATGGATCAATTACTATGTTGAGCATTTCAGATTACACAACTACACTGTAAATGCATGGAACATCCATTATCAGTTGGCAATACTTCAATTATTCACGACAGCAAGGAGATATTGTGTCCACAATAAAGTCGGTAATAATAACAAAAGTCTGTTCATCTCGTATCTTCCTCAAGTGAATACCCCATAATATAGCCTCTGTCTATATATGGAATGTTTATATTTCTCCCTTAGTTCTTCAAGTTTCTATTTATAGTGGCTACAAAGTATACCCTCTTTATCTGTATACCTTACTGCATTTAACTCCAAGAGTGTTCATAGAAACAATGTTGAATTGGGTTACAAATTTCTGGCATACTCTGTTATTCTACCCTTTCTTGGTCCCTTTTGGATTCTTCGTAATTTTTTTGTACAATGTTCTGTCTAAAGGTCTTGCCACTGGCATAAACCTTCCACCCTCGCCGCCAAAGCTGCCAATCATAGGAAACCTTCATCAACTAACTGCATCTCTTCACCGTGACTTTTTATCATTGTCTCAGCGTTATGGCAAGCTAATGTTGCTTCACTTTGGCAGCAAGCCCACCGTGGTCGTCTCATCTGTAGATGCAGTTCAAGAAATCATGAAGACTCACGATGTGGTCTTCTGTAATAGGCCTAAATCACGTGCTGCCATTAAATTATTCTATGACTACAAGGATGTAGCTTTTGCTCCTTATGGAGATCATTGGAGGCAGATGAAGAGTGTTTGCGTTATGCAACTTTTGAGTAACAAAAAAGTTCGATCTTTTAGAAATATAAGAGAAGAAGAGACTGCTTTAATGGTTGAAATAATAAAAGGATCCCATTCTTCTGTGGTTAATTTGAGTGAGATTATTGTGACATATACATATGACGTCATTTGTAGGGCAACTTTTGGTAGGAAGTATAGTAGTAATCGTGGGGGAGGTGTCGATTTTAAGGAGCTGTTAAATGAAGCCATGGAACTACTTGGGGTTTTTAGTTTAGGAGAGTTAATACCTTGGCTAAGCTGGGTTGATCGACTGAAGGGTTTAGATGGTCGAGTGCAAAAGGTGGCAGATAGGTTGGACGAGTTTCTTGAAGCAGTCATTCAAGAACATCATACGCTAAGCATTAGTGCTGAGTGTGACTACACAGAAGAGGATACAAAAAACTTTGTGGACATTTTGCTTGAATATCAGAATGAGAACAAGGATGCTCTTTCAATAGAGAGTATCAAAGCCGTTATATTGGTAAGCTAGTTCGATCTTAGCTCACTATCGTATACTATTAATCCTTTAGATTATTTACTAGTAACTATGTTTTGATGCAGGATATGTTTTTTGCTGGGACTGAAACAATTTTCACACTGTTAGAATGGATGATGAGTGAGCTGATTAGGCATCCCAGAGTTATGAAAGAACTGCAAGAAGAGATTAGGAACATTGTCAGAGGTCAAGACCGCCGAGTATGTGAGGATGATTTGGAGAAACTAACGTATCTAAAAGCAGTGATCAAGGAGGCACTAAGGCTACACCCTCCTGCCCCTTTGTTACTGTTTCGACAGCCATCGCAGGATGTCAAAATAAACGGGTTTGACATTACTGCAGGGACACAAGTGATAATCAATGCTTGGGCAATTCAGAGAGACCCAACTGTTTGGGAAGACCCTGAGGCATTTTTTCCTGAGAGATTCCTAAACGGAACTACTACATATGATTTCAAGGGACAGGATTTTCAGTTTATCCCGTTTGGAGCGGGCAGAAGAATGTGTCCTGGATCAAGCTTCGCTGTGATCAATGCCGAGCTTGTGGCTGCGAATCTGGTCTATGAGTTTGATTGGAAGTTGCCTGATGGAGCAGAATGTGGGAAGTTAGATATGGCTGAAAGTGTTGGTATAACAACTCACAAGCGAGTTCCTCTTATGGTTACTGCAGCTCCTTATTCCTGTAAATGAGGTAATCCTGAATGTAATTGAATCAAATAAACTTGGAATATAGCACATTTAAAAGCCATTGGTTGCAATGGTTTATTCCATTGACTTCAAATGCTGTAATATATGCTGGTTTACTGTAATTACCACTAGTGTTATGTTTATTCACCATCTTCCCTCCGAATAATGTAATTGCTCAAAATATTCTCTCTTTATTTTCGATCATTCAATTAAGTACTTGAGAAATACCTCTTGGAGCAGTGGCTCAGAGGTCGTCTCGCATCCTTGAGGTGCGAGATTCAATTCTCATCACGCATAAATCCGACCCCTCTACCCCCTCCAGGCTTCCAAGTATTATATACTGTGATTGTGGAGGGTTACACTTCCAAAAGCATAGCTTAATAGACCTCTTTAATTACATAATGTCAATTATTATAAAAAGTTGATATTGTGAGAGTAATTTATTTCTTATGTGTTTAGCACAAATGTAATTTAAAAGGTTATTTATTTGTTTGAATAAGTGTCAAAAGTACAAACATTGCAAAGGTATTTTTGAAAGGGGTCGTGAGGTTATATTTATTACAATTATTACGTGTTTGTTAGATTTAAATCTCTTTCTATACGTCGTTGTATACCTTTCAATAAATCGATCATATTTTTAAAGATAGGGGGGAGGGGAGGGGGAGGAAGGGTAAGGGAATCCCCACCCCCAAGTTGCCTCGAGTGGGGATTGATCCCACAACTTAATGGTTGGAAGGTGACAATTCTTTCCACAAGACCAAATACTACTTGGTAGATAAATTCCATTACATGTCCAACTTTACTTGCAAGATGTATTTTGGTAGTCAAAACAAGTAAGACCCTATTCTTTTAAGCTTCAATTCTGAGCAGAGCAGGGGTCAGTAGAGCAGCATAGCATCAGCTGAGTAGAGTAGATTTTAGCATAGCAGAGCAGATTTCAGCATTATTATTATTATTATTATTATTATTATTATTATTATTATTATTATAGAAAAATAACAAAAACCTACAAAGTCAATCAATTTACAAGAAATTAGTGGGGAGCCGAGATACAATCTGGGCCCTCACCTCTCTAGCTATACCGAACCCGATCCTGCTGAAGATGTGAGCAGCTGCACGAGCACCAATATCCTGAGTCCTAGCGAACGTCTAAACTCGCTCCAACAACGCAACAACATCCTTATCTAATTCCCCCAATGAAGAAAAGGATAAAGGAAGAAAACCATAGCCAATTGCCCTACAACGCGCCCCATACTTATCCCGCTTTCGCTGAGCCGCAACCGACACAACACGACCAGCAACAAAGTCAGACAACCCAGACTGTGTTAAATGAGAAGGCCCTGTCAAGTCAACACATACATCAAGACCTCTGTCCCAAGAATAAAGCCACATCTGTAGGTCAAAGAGCCCCATCGTTCCCTCCAGTCAACCCAATGTTAACCTCCTTTCTTGCAGAAATCCCAGACCGAAAACAAATATCAACAAGGGTATCACGAACAACGTTATGTCGATGTTTAATACCCACCATCCCAGCACAAGACACTGCATGATCCCTATAAATGTCCTCATCAAAAACCCTTGAACAAGCAGAATACGGTGTCGAAACGGAGAACAAAGGAACACCCAACCGGTAGCAAAGGGAAGAACGGTAAGTCTTACCATTCATAGTTTGACCCAACCCCGATATTGGGACCGCCCGCAACCAGGCAGGAGTATGATCCCTCTGCTGGGATTTCCATAAGGCAACCTGACGCGGAGATAAGGAGAAAGTGGATGTTGCAGATGCAGTAACCTTTGTGAAATATATATCTGCCAATTTCTTTGGGGATAGCGATCTCACTAGGGTTACTCATAAGGTCAGTCTCCATAGTCCTATTAAAAAGACTAAGAGCATCATCAAAGGCCAGTCCCTGACCAACAATACCAAATTATTATTATTATTATTATTGTTATTGTTGTTGGTGTTGTTGTTGTTGTTGTTAAATATTAATTCTTATTTTAATTATTATTAATTTAATATTAATTGTTATTATTATTAATTATTATTATTATTATTAATATTATGATTAATTATTATTTTTATTATTATTATTTTAATATTAATTATAAATATTAATTATTATTATGATTATTAAATATTAATTATTATTATGATCAGACATTAATTATTATTATTTTTAAGAGCAGAGCAGAGCATAGCAGAACAATGCTCAATAGAGTAGAGTAGAACAACTCAAAAGAACAGGGCCTAACATGATTTAGTTTATTAAGCTAGTAATTAACTCTCCTAATTAATATTAGGGGAAACGTTAATGTAAGGCTGTCATACTTTTGCCACATTGTTAAACTTGTGACCCATCAAGACTAAAGGGAGTAAAGGCCAATTAGGTGGAGCCCCACCATAGTTAAAATAAATTAATTTTTAATGGAAAAAAATTGTTTTATATTGCGGATATATATTCGGAAATCTTAGGAAATATTTTGTTAGTATCTTTTGGTGACTATTAAGAATTGTTTGGCTCATTAAGTTTGAATGGATTGGTATGCAATCTCACACATACTAGAGGTATGAATTCTAAAACTCAAATTAGTACAAAGTTGTTCGGTTTTATTGTTGGAATGAATTCTATCCTTCATTAATAGAATAGATTGTGAGTCTTAGGGGAAGGGGTGGGTATGAGATTCCATGGCTATGAAGTGGAGTTAGAACCCCTTGAGTATGAGATTTTATTACTAAAAACCTCAACCAAACAAAAAATTAGATGGAATGAATTCTAACTTCATTCCAACCCATTCTAAATAATTCAACCAAATGACCCCTTAATATTTTTTTGATATCTAGGGTTTTCTCTAGGGATTGCTCTTGGGAGGGTTTCTTCTAGCTTTTGCTAGTTTCATTTCTTCTTCTCGAAGTTTTTGTTCGTGATTGTGTTATTTTCTTTTTCTCGATTACTCTATCTCTCTCGTTACATTCATGGCGAGTACAGACGAAGCGAGTAATCAAGTTTTGGACCTGAATAAAGAAATAGAGGGTGTAGATTGGGAGGATGATGGAGGAGGAGAGGAAGAAGCGCAGATTGAATTAGCCGTGGTTGGAAAAATCCATACTTCTCGCAACATCAATGCGAACGCCCTAGTAAATACATTAAAAAAAGTATGGAACCCAAAACATGGTTGCGAAGCGAATGTGATCGGAAGCAAAATTTTTTATTTCCAATTTCACCATTGGAAGGATAAACAACATGTCATGGAGTCGCAACCTTGGCACTTCGACCACCATGTGATGATCCTAGATGACGCAAAAGGTAATTTAAAACCTTCAGAAATTCCCCTTCAGTACGTTCCTTTCTGGATTCGTGTTTATGACCTACCTTTTAGGGGTAGAAATAATGAAGAAAATGCTAGAAGAATTGGTGAAAAAATTGGAACATATATATAACTATGGATAAGTCGGATGTCATTGGCATAAACAAATCCCTACGAATCAGAGTCAGCATTGATGTTAATAAACCGCTAAAGAAAGATGATAGAACTGAGAACAGGGAGGGGTGTCATGGAAGTGCCTATAAAATATGAGAAGCTGCCAGTTTTCTATTACATTTGTGGTTGCTTAGGCCATGGGGAGAAGGACTGTGAGGAGACTGCTGCCAGTAGAAAATTCAGCGAAAAACTACGGGTGAATACCCCTTGGAAGGCAACCAAGAACGACATTGGTTATGAGGAAGGAGACTTAAGCAATGCGGTAAGGAGGCTCTTCATCACAAAACAGAACCAGCAGATCATTGATGATAATGAGAAATTAGAAGATAGGAGAGTTGAAGAAGGGGCAACCATGAATCACAAAGCTGTTTTGAATCAGGCGCAAGAAAATGTTGCTGAAAACTCTTTAGAGTGCACTATGGCAGAACCATCTGGAGAGAAGGAGACACCAAAACAAGATTCGATTTCAAAAAGGAGAGAGCAGGTAGTTTGCCTCAATGACAAGGGTGGACTAGTGAGCAATGATGTTGTTAATGAGGTCCAGTTGCTATGTGTTTCGGATGATACAAGGGTGAAGGGAGGGACGAGGAGCTGGAAAAGGATACCTAGGGAGGTGGGGGAAGGAGACAAAGAAGAGAGTTTGAGGGTGGAAAGGGGAAAACGGGGCAGGGAGGAAGGAGAGGTTGAGGTGGGGGAGTTTCATATAGGAAAGAAGATAATTTATACAACTTTTTCAAGTGGTGTGGGGCCAAAGGCGGAGGTTGGCAATGACCAACCCCGCCGAACCCAATGAGTGTGTTTGCTTGGAACTGTCGGGGAATGGGCAATCCCCGATCAGTTCGTCGGCTCCTCAAATGGAGTCATAAATGCAGCCCAGGGATACTATTTATATCGGAGACCAAGGTGGAAAGTAGAGTGGTAGAAGATTTAAAAGAAAGACTAGGTTTCCACGGAGCTTTTGGTGTATCAAGCAGGGGACGTGCTGTAGGCCTCTGCATTTATTGGAAGGAGATGGTGGATTTTAGGCTCGTCTCTTTCTCAGACCATCATATATGTGGTGATATATGGAACGGAGATATGCTGAAATGGAGGTTTGTTGGGATTTACGGATGGGCAAATTCTGAAGAAAAATGCAAGACTTGGCAGCTCATTCGCCAATTGTATGATGAGGAGGTTCCGATTTTGATGGGTGGTGATTTCAATGAACTACTCTCATATGATGAAAGAGAAAGGGGTGCACAATGTGTAAGAAAGGAGATGGAAAATTTTAGGGAGGTGATCTCAGAGTGTGGATTGAGAGATATGGGCTTCAAGGGCATATGGTACACTTGGGAAAGGGGAAAAAATCCAGACACAAGAGTTCGGGAAAGACTTGACAGGTTCCTCGGCTCGACTTCTTGGTGTTCAATGTACAAAAATGCTTCGGTTGAACATATTACGAGGATAAATTCAGACCATGCCCCCATCCTCATGCAGTATGATGTGACTCACACAAGAAAGAAAAAAAGGAAGGACAAAGGCTTCAAGTTCGAAACCTTTTGGCTGACAGATGAGGGGTGTGAAGAAGTTGTAAAGAGTGCGTGGGAGGGAGCTGCGTCTTTGAGCATGGCAGGGAAGGTGGCCTCGGTGGGTAGATGCCTCATGAGGTAGAATGATAAGCATTACAATAGGCTAGCAAAGCAGATTGCGGATGCTGAAGTGGCTTTGCAAAATGCCCAAGAAAAGCCAATAAATGACAAAAATTGCGAGGAGTGTGATGAGATTGAAAAGCATCTTGACGAGCTACAAGCGAAGTATGAAGCGTATTGGCATGTGAGGTCTAGAGTGGCAGA